TCAGAAGTAAAATCTGAGGTCGAAATGGAAGGATATTTTGGAATCGACCGCCTTGAGGTTTTTGAAATCAACTGGAATGCCTACAACGATAAATCATCGGACTTCTATAAGGACGGTGCATACAATGTTGCAAAGTGCATGAGAGCTGTGGCTGAACCCTTGCTTCTCAGTCACTTTAGTGCAGCGATAATTGATGAGGTGTTCAGCAGGTACAGGAAGATTGTGGCTAATATAATGTCCAAAGAGAGAACTGAGTTCATCAATGTCACTGTTGCAATGACTAAAAAGGGGTGGTGATCATCAAAATAGCTTGTTTGTAATATTGTTTTTTTTTTGGGTGGAATCTCGACGGTGCGAGAGAGATTTTATTAATTAAAATTTAAAATTACACCCAACCAAGAGGAACGGATGTACTTTACCCTCGATGCAATCTAATTACATGCCAAAAACAAAACGAAAGAAGGCAAAAATGCAAGCTTATTACAAGCAACAGAAAAGTAAGAATAAAAGCGAAGCATATTGCCTAAGCTGCTGCAAGAATGAGCTGAGAGGATTCACTGAGCTGAGGACTGCAGTAATCTTGAAACCTAGGGCAGAGTCAACCATTAATGGCAACTGAGCTGAAGGCATACAAATGATGCAGCGCTGATGTGTTAAGTGCCAGCTGAAGGAAAGAGGCATATAAGGAAGCTAATGGGACGCTTGATAAGGAGGCGAATGAAGAGCCTAATAAGGAGACTGAAGCGTCTGATAGAAAGACTGAAAGGCGTCTGAGTAAGCCACTTTGGAACACCAAATGCTAATCAGATGGACAGACTCAGAACGATAATCAGAGAGAATCTCTGGAAACTCATTCGATGGTTCTGAGAAAATCCTTTGTTGCTTCAAACTAAGGAAGAAGATGAATACCCATTGAAGAAATTCCATCAGTTGAAGCAGAAAAGACAGAGAAGACTTTAACTGCTGCAACTTAAAGAAGATGATCCATAGCGAGAAGACTATGAAGGAAGAAGAAGATGAATATCCAGCGAATGAGGAAGCCTTAAAGCTTAAACTGCCATTCTGCAACTATCCCTTGCCATGGAGAAGATGAATATCCAGCAAATTGAAGGGGATTGCAGCTGTCAGAAGACCTGAAGCCTGGGCCTGAGAACAGTTCAAACCAAAGCTCCCCCGTCCTGATGCTCCGAAGAAACAAAGCAGAGTAATATTGAGATGGATGAGCCTCCTCCAAATGACAAAGTGATTCTGAATGCCTTTATGAGAACTCTTGATTAGTCCTGTTATATCCATTCTTGTATATGAAAAGTTTTCTCTAATTAAGAAAAGTGCCCAGTCCCCAGAATGTATATATATATATATATATATTTTGCTTCCTAACACCAGTCCATTCGCCTAAATAAAGGTAGATGCTATAAAAGTTGTGACTTCAATCTTGAAGTTGTAGTCTTAGAACGCAGAGATCTAATCTGTCTCTGATCCTGCCATAGCAGTTGCTTGGTTTGGATCGATAGTGTTGTAGAAGAGGAATAGGACACAGAAGTTCTGTTCTGAACACATAGATTCGCCAATGAGTCTGCCACAGTATTTCCCTCTCTATATGAATGCTGGATTTGAAAGTCGAAATACTCAAGTAAAGAAAAGATTTGATAATAAATGTTCCAGTGTCTCCAACTAGGCAACTTCTTCTGTTTAACCATGTTAACTAAAACCTGAGAATCACTTTCAATAGTAAGTGGATAGACCTCCAAACCAAACTCTTTTGACAAACGCAAACCATCAAGCAAAGATCTCATTTCAGCTTCCATATTAGTACAAACTCCATAGAAGAAGGATCCAACTAGAACCAGAATACCCCAATGATTTCTCAGAGCCACTCCTCCACCCGAAAGTCTTGGATTGCCCTTAGAGGCACCATCAATATTGAGTTTAAGATTTCCTTCAGGTGGTAATCCATTTCCTTCAGGTGATATTGTTCAATCTGTTGAACAATCTAAAGACATACAAGAGATAAGACAGAGAGGAGACTAGGGTTTTATTAATACTGCATAATTTTAATTGAATACAAGGGAATAATTTAACCTAAATACAAAGAGACTATATATAAGCTAAACAAGGTAGAGAAAGTAAAAGACTATTCTACCCTTAATAAATAAAATAACCCTATATTTCTTAACATCTCCCCTCAAACTTACGATGTAGCAGCGACAAGCATCGAGAGTTTGCCAACTAGAAAACGAAACCGAGAAATAGAATGCGACTTGGTAAAGAAATCTGCAATCTGCAAAGAAGAAGAAACAAAGGGTAAAGTAATGGTGTCATACTTGAGATGATGACGAGTAAGGTGACAATCGATTTCAATGTGTTTAGTTCGTTCATGAAAAACCGAGTTGTGAGCAATCTGAATAGAACTCCGGTTGTCACAATACATAGGAGTGGGATGAGAAAGAGAAACTCCCATATCTGCAAGTAACCAACGTAACCAAACAATCTCTTTGGTAGTAGATGTCATAGCACGATATTCTGCTTCGGTTGAAGATTGAGAAACAATAGATTGTTTCTTGCTCTTCCAAGAAATAAGAGAATCACCCAAAAAGATACAGAAACCAGTAACAGATTTGCGATCTGTGGGATCACTGTCATGATCAGCATCAGAGTATGCACACAGCTCCAAGGAAGAGGTGGATGGAAGTAAAAGACTCTGAAAGACTGTACCCCGAAGATACCTCAAAATACGAAGAACCGCTGCCCAATGAACTGTAGTAGGAGAAGCAACAAACTGACTAACAACATGAACAACATATGCAATATCTGGACGAGTAATAGTGAGATATACCAAGCTCCCAACAATAGTATGGTATAAAGTAGGATCTGACAAAGGTAAACCATCAGAAGAAGAATACTTTGCGTTAACCTCAATGGGAGTATCTACAGTCTTATTATCAGTAAGTCTAGCTCGCTCAAGAATATCTGCAACATATTTCGACTGAGAAAGAAGATAACCTCTGGGTGAGCAGGCTACCTCAATACCCAAGAAATATCGTAGAGAACCCAAATCCTTCATTTCAAACTGTCTAGCTAACTCTGTCTTCAAAACTGAAATACCATTAATATCATCACCAGTAATAATTATGTCATCAACATATAAAGACAGAATGATACGACCTGCATCAGTGCACTTAACAAAAAGAGCAGAATCATGACTACTAGAAGTAAACCCAAGGGAAGAGATCACAACAGAAAATTTCTCAAACCAAGCACGAGGTGCTTGTTTGAGACCATATAACGCTTTCTTGAGCTTGCAAACATACCCAAAATCATGTGAAACACCAGGAGGGGGAGCCATATAAACTTCTTCTTGAAGATCCCCATTCAAGAAGACATTTTTAACATCAAGTTGAGAGATATGTCATTGACGAACCGAAGCAACTGCAATAAGAGTACGAATAGTAGTCATTTTTGCAACAGGAGCAAATGTCTCCTCATAATCCATACCATACTGTTGAGAGTACCCTTTTGCAACCAACCTAACTTTGTATCGCTCAACAGATCCATCATAATTGGTCTTAATCTTATACACCCAACGACAACCAACAACACTCTTACCAGGAGGTAGAGGAACCAAATCTCAAGTACCTGTCTTATGCAAAGCAGAAAGTTCCTCATCCATAGCTTGCTGCCAAAGAGGGTCAAGAATTGCCTCTTTATAGGAAGAGGGCTCAGAGAGACAATGAATAGAAGCTAAAAAGGAAGTAAAAGATGAAGAATAACAAGAATAAGTAAAATCTGGTAACTTTGTGGACTTACGAATGCGTGTGGATTGACGTAGAGGTGGATTCACAATCTCAGACGAAGCTTGAGGGACCATAGGAGAGGAGGTAGCTTCAGGTGTGCTAGAGAGTAAAGTGTCAGTACCTGTAGAATGATCAGTGCTGGTATTTGAAGTATTAGAAACCTGAGATGACAAACTATCAGAATCATCAGAAAAAGGATCTATACGAATAAGATCAGATCTAGTCAAGCTATAAGTAGTGGATGGAATAGAAAAGAAAGGTATATGCTCAAGAAAAATAACATGACGAGACACATAAAGTTTTTGAGTTATTGGATCAAAACAACGATACCCCTTTTTACCTGCACCATAACCAAGAAAGACACAAATAGCAGATCGAGAGGACAACTTGTTGCGTTCAACATGAGGATGAAGAACGAAATAAGTACAACCAAAAACTCTAAATGAAGAATAATCAGGGGCATACCCATACAACTTTTCGAAAGGAGAAACACCTGAAATATGAGAAGATGGAATTGTATTAATCAAACCTACAGCAGTAAGAACAACTTCACCCCAAAACTCACTAGGAACAGAAGAAGACAACAAGAGAGAACGAGCAGTTTCAACAATGTGCCTATATTTTCTTTCAGCAACACCATTTTGCTCAGGAGTATCTGTACACGAAGTTTGGTGAATAGTTCCATCTAAGGCAAGCAACTCAACAAATTTACTAGAATCGATGAAAGGACCTGATGAAACTATTGCTGTAGTATTAGACTATGGTGGTTTGTAACCCTGAGGTGGTCTAGAAGCATTAGATTGTGACTGGTTGCCAGACTTCCAAGCTTGAGATTGCTGTTGCGATTGATTCTGCTGTCTTAACTTAGGACATTGAGCCTTCCAATGACCTTTCTGCTCACAGAAACTGCACTCGTCAAAGGCAGGTCTTGTGTAAGGCTTATTCTGATTATGAGAGAATGATTTAGAAGGTACTGCCATCACAGAAGGATCAACAATAGAAAAAATTCCCCTGTCAGAATANGAAACCTGAGATGACAAACTATCAGAATCCTCAGAAAAAGGATCTATACGAATAAAATCAGATCTAGTCAAGTTATAAGTAGTGGATGGAATAGAAAAGAAAGGTATATGTTTAAGAAAAACAACATGACGAGACACATAAAGTTTTTGAGTTATTGGATCAAAACAACGATACCCCTTTTTACCTTCACCATAACTAAGAAAGACACAAATAGCAGATCGAGAGGACAGCTTGTTGCGTTCAACATGAGGACGAAGAACGAAATAAGTACAACCAAAAACTCTAAATAAAGAATAATCAGGGNTAAGAAAGACACAAATAGCAGAACTAGAGGACAGCTTGTTGCGTTCAACATGAGGACGAAGAACGAAATAAGTACAACCAAAAACTCTAAATAAAGAATAATCAGGGGCATACCCATACAACTTTTCAAATGGAGAAACATCTGAAATATGAGAATATGGAATTGTATTAATCAAACCTACAGCAGTAAGAACAGCTTCACCCCAAAACTCACTAGGAACAGAAGAAGACAACAAGAGAGAACGAGCAGTTTCAACAATGTGCCTATATTTTCTTTCAGCAACACCATTTTGCTCAGGAGTATTTGTATACGAAGTTTGGNTGGAGAAACATCTGAAATATGAGAAGATGGAATTGTATTAATCAAACCTACAGCAGTAAGAACAGCTTCACCCCAAAACTCACTAGGAACAGAAGAAGACAACAAGAGAGAACGAGCAGTTTCAACAATGTGCCTATATTTTCTTTCAGCAACACCATTTTGCTCAGGAGTATTTGTATACGAAGTTTGGTGAATATTTCCATCTAAGGCAAGCAACTTATCAAATTTATTAGAAGTGTATTCCCCACCCAAATCACACCTAAAACATTTGATAACAACAGAATGTTGAGTTTTGACAAGAGCTCGAAAGACTGTATATATCTCAAAGAATTTAGAACGATGTTTCATTAAATAAATCCAATAATAACGAGTATGATTATCAATAAAAGAAATATAATATCGAGACCCTCCTTTTGTGGCAACAGGAGAAGGTCCCCATACATCAGAATGAATCAAATCAAATGGAGAAGAAGAAACAGAAATACTTCGATTAAAAGGTAAAGCTGAAAATTTTGCCATTTTACATTCACTACAATCAGAAATATCAAAAGTTTTCAAATTTCCTAAAGCCCCTGTGGATGCCAAAAATCTCAAACGAGAAGACGAAACATGGCCTAAACGAGAATGCCATAAATAAAAACTAGAAGAAGAAGGACTCAAACGAAAAGAAGATAAATCAACACTAGTAGCAGCAACTGACACTTTTAACTCATCCAAAATATATAGTCCCCCCTTCCTACAGCCTGTCCCAATCAGCTTCTGAGACTGCAGCTCCTGTACATAACAAGAAGAAAAGGAAATGTTGACTAAATTTTCAGAATCACATAACTGACCAACAGAAGCAACACCTGCTAAAGGCATAGGAGCGCCATCAACAGTCATAACAGGAATAGAAGATGAAGGAGATACAGAGGCAAAAGATGAAGAATCTGGAGACATATGATGTGAAGCACCAGAATTCAAGACCCATACAGAATGTGACATACCTGGAGAACTATGAGGCAACTGACCTCCTGAAGAAGAAGCAGACATAGCTTGTGGTTGTAAGGAGAGAAACTTCTGAAATTGCTCAGCCAAGATACTAGAATCGGTGAAAGGACCTGATGAAACTACTGCTGCAGTATTAGACTGTGGTGGTTTGTAACCCTGAGGTGGTCTAGGAGCATTAGATTGTGATTGGTTGCCAGACTTCCAAGCTTGAGATTGCTGCTGCGATTGATTCTGTTGTCTTAACTTAGGACATTGAGCCTTCCAATGACCTTTCTGCTTACAAAAATTGCACTCGTTGAAGGCAGGCCTTGTGTAAGGCTTATTCTGATTATGAGAGAATGGTTTAGAAGGTACTACTAACATAGAAGGATCAGAAGTAGAAAGAATTCCGTTGTCAGAATAAGACTTAAGACGTATCTCTTTAGCCAATAACTCACTGACAACTGAGTTAACAGAAGGAAGTGGAGAACGATGCAAAATTGAACCTCTAACTCCTTCAAAATCAATACGAAGTGCCATTAAAAACTGTATCAATCGTTGCTAATCTCTACGAGCAATATAGGCACCACATGCCTTTAATTCAGCCGATTCTGTAAGAGCCAATTGATCCCAAAGATTTGTCATAGTAGAATAAAACTCCTGAATACTCATATTCTTCTGCTGAAGAGCTCGTATGTCATGCTCCAATTGATACTGCTTTGCAAAATTTGATTGAGTGAATAACCTTTGCAAATGATCCGCGTAAACTGTGTTTGAGATTAAGCCTTGTCCCATGAAATTTGCTCTGATACCATGTTGAACAATATAAAGAAATACAAGAGATAAGAAAAGAGGAGGTTAGGGTTTTATTGATACTGCATAACTCAATTGAATACTAGGAAGTAATTTAACCTAAATACAAAGAGACTATATATAAGCTAAACAAGACAGGGAAAGTAAAGGACTATTCTACCCTTAATAAATAAAATAACCCTATATTTCTTAACAATATGTTTTTTGAAGCTATTTTTTTGAAAATATATAGAGCTTAGTTTGGCATGTTAATGGCTATAAAGATATCTGAGTCACAATTCATGAGGCATTCAATTGAACAACTGAAAAAAATGTACCCATGGACCAGCTGCTTAAGCCTAATACACATAAGCATCTTATTGGTTAGTGAACGTCTGGCTGTACTTAGATGGTCATTACCTAGTTCAGCCCCTGTTAAGCAATGGTACTGGTAGTAGCGGACCAGCTATAAACTTAATTTTTGACATCATTTGCACGAACTGATTGCCTTCAGATTTGACACCCACAACCTCACAGTTGCGTTCACCTGACACTTTTACCATTGCACTAAGCACAATAATATCTAAAGATATTGTATATTTCTTTGTCCTCCCCATGGGAAAAATACCAGAGAGAGAGAGAGAGAGGAACATCTTTTACAAACATCCCTGGACTGTTACAATGGTTATAGTTTAGAAATTTATGAGGCCAAGTACTTTTAAAGGTGTTCAAACACTTACTACTTTAGTTGGTTACGATAGTAAATCAAGAGATAATCGAGGTAATATGCAATATATTATTTTTTCCTATCATGACTTTTACTTTGTGAGTTTGTGTGCAATATGGATGAGATGCGTTCACTCCACCACAGCCACCATGGGGACTTTGTATTTTGGGAAAAGATCACTTGCACAATTTGGAGAGGATGAATTTCTTCTTAGGACAATGTGTTTAGCATCCCTTGAACCAGGCTTGTGTGTTTCATTCTCTACAATATTTTTTTTTTAATCTTATTCTCACTTTTGTCTATTTGAATTTTACTAGTTTCATCTATGATATTGTTTCATTTGGAGAACAAGAAAAAGGGAGCCAAATTTTTTCTGCAAATTTTTTGGAGGGGTGGTTATTTGATATACTTAGCTTTTATCTTCAAATACCTCTCGTATATGTGGGTTGTGCCACGTCGTGTTTACACCTTACAGGTGCTTTTAATATGTATCTTTGTGCTTACTCAAAAAAAGAAAGAGACAGCTATGTGTATGTTGAGATGGCCTTTCTGTAGTTTAAACCATTGGCCTTGTTGTCAAGGCTTTGGTCTGCTGTAAGTTTTTGGTTCCTCTTCCCGCTTACCAAACAAATAGATTAGAAAAGACATTTAATTAAGATTCTAGTTTGGTCCTTCAAGCTAGTAACATAAATCGTTTTGAATTTTTGCAGGTTTTTTGGTTACAATATGGATTTTTGCAGTCTTGTTCAAATCAAACGACATTCTACAAAGGCAAACGGCTCTAAAGGTGCTGCAATTTTTCGTTTTTCAATCTACTGATGACTATTAAACTAGAATGGAGCCATTGTGTTTTGTTTGTACTTCCTGTACTGTGTTAAACATGTGCAGTTTTGATATCTTCAGGGTGAGAGGAAAATCTTGGTTCTTGTCTGTATCTCTGTGATATTCATGCTCCATGTGGTTTGTGTTTACTGGGGGTACCAAAATGATGAGCTTATATACCCTTTGGTTTTGCTTCCTCCAAAAGCAGTCCCACCATTTTGGCATGCAATATTCATCATCATGGTGAATGGTAAATACCTGAACTCCATGCTCTATTGATATTTTTCAAACCAATTTTTATATGCACCCTGGAATATCATTATGCCCATTCTAGATGGATGTTGGGTTTCTTGTTGAAATTTAGCTTCATTTTGCCGGTCATGTCTCTTGATTTTGTGTTTCCTTATGATAAATCCTGAGAGAAATCAGAGATTGAGGAAACTTTAAGTTAGTCCTACTTTGTTATTGTATTTCTCAATGTTTTGTGTGCTCAAGACTTCTTTAATGGGACATGTAGTTTGGCAATAATATGATATTACTAGGCAGACTGTGATTATGGGCAATTCATCTGTGCTTCAATGGTCAAAAACTTGTAGTTGCTGACACGAAGCTCGTTGTGTTAGAAATAAGGAGATCCCGGCAGCTGGCTACATATCCATCAAAGTGTTATGTATGAAAAAATGATAATATCAAAGAAGGGAACCATTTATGTTTATTATGAGGCAAACAACATCTGTTTACTAAAAATTTTATATAAGGTACAAGGTAACAACTTTTGTTGCAAGTGAGCAAGAATTTTTCGTTGATGTTCGGATTGATTAATTCTTGCCTATTGAACAATATCACTTTTTTTTACAAGAAAAACAGAGTTGATAAAAATCTTGTTGCAGTCTGCTGCCTCTGCTAAGTTCTTCACCAGTAGAGACTAAATACTGCAAGACCAACTTTGAAGGTCTCATATATCAACTAAAACTGTCATGTATTTTTACTCTTAAATTATCTGGTTTTCAAGTTGTTATAGAACTATATTTAGTTTTTTTAGTGCATTACCTAGACATTGCAATCTTCTGCTGAAATCTGTTGGGCGCAAAGTTTCTATCTTGTAAATGATTATGATTTTAGCTCCACGAGGATTATTAGGTATACCAAGTCCCCTGCAATTACATTGTGATGATATTATTCTCAAGTCAGCTCAACGCAACCTTATTTTGAGGTTGATTTCATAAATCTTGTTTCACTATAACCTTTTATTTAAGTTTGCAAGTTTTGCTGGACATGTTATTATGTTTTTCATTGCCATCTCGACATGCTTTACAGTTGATCTATCCTCCTTTCCGCTTTCTCTAGTAGCTGACCGTATACTTTTTCTAGTGTGTGTCCTTGATTTTTCTTGCACACGACCCAACCATCTCAGCTGAACTTCTCTTACCTATGATTGATGCCAATACCACCATATCTGATTTAACCCTCGATTGTGTTACCAGCTATCTACATCTATCTCAACTTGTGTATTTTTACGTCACAATCACTTTCATTTATGCTAGAAGAATTAATGGTATTATGATACTGTTGGTGTTGCTTAGGTATGAACTGATACTATTACTTCTGTGATAACTAGCTGTACCAAAATACCAATGCCTTCTACCATGATGATGACATTTTTAGGAAATGATCTATATAGATTCTTTGTGGTAAGAATCCCTGTAATTTTATTTGCCTGGAGAGTTTTGATATGCAATGGACTTTCAAAACTGCCTCTAACAAAAAGGAAAATGGATTTAAACTAGTGGAATACTTGGTGCCCCTTTCATATGAAGAGTCCAGATATCACAGGCATTCTATCTGTAATATTTACGTTTCTAGCATTTACACATAGCTTTCGCATTGATAGGACAAATACACATGGAGACCCTTCTGGAAGCATTGACCAAGTGATCCAGGTCTCCTAAATTAAATTCTGTTGTGTAGCGATTCATCCCATACCAGTTATTCTTCCTTCCTTATATCTGTATTACCGATGGATGTACTCTATACCTTTCTGTATAACAATTCTTCATGATGTGTTTTTAGAGTTGGTATATCCTTTTCTTAGATACAATGGTGCGACAGGCAGCAATGGTCTTGAAGTGTATACTGCTAATGTATTGCAAGAATAGTGGGGGCCATAATTACCGGAAGCAGGTAATTTGGATAATGTCTGTTTGCTCTTTTTATTTGTGTTTCCATTTTCGTTTTTGACGTGCCAAATCATGCTGACTGTGGAAGGCCGCCTTTGGTTTCTGCAGGGCCAAATGCTAACACTGATCGAGTACATGTTGTTTCTGTATCGAGCCTTGTTGCCAACCCCGGTTTGGTGCCGGTTCTTTTTAAATAAGGAATATGGAAGCCTCTTTTCATCATCGACTACAGGGCTGTATTTAACTTTCAAGCTAACTTCAGTAATAGAGAAGGTATGCGTATATTTTTTTCTCCTATCTTCATTCAGTTATCATTAATTTCTTCTTACGTCTTGGAACAATGTTACAGCAGTCTCTGCCTTGTTCTAATGTTCTGTTTCTTGGATTTTAGGTTCGATTATTCCTTGCTGCATTAAGGGCCTTGTCACATAAGGAGGTACATTTTGGGTCATATGCCTCTTCTGAACAGGTTGATAGAATTTCTTGAATATTTCCTATTCAAAAGTGATTTTTTTTCTATTGTTTCCTTTGTGTTGTTTTCTTTCGTTTATTATTATTATCATTATTTATTTATTTATTTATTTGCTTTGGTGGTGGATCCATTTCAACCGTTTGTTTATTGTGTAAACTTTCAAGTTTCATTGGGGGTGTTTCATGGATGAAAAGTATCCACTGGGAACCCTCCTAGGTCTATTCCACCCCAGACCTGCATCAGCATTGATCTGAATAGCCACTAGTGTATGAGTTATCTTTTATTGGGATGTCGGACAAAGAGCCTTCGTCTAATGAATAACCCTTGACAATTTTGGAGCTGGAACTCATTCGTAAAAATTTTCTAACCAACCTAGGGAACTGGTAACAAGTTATGATTAAGGCACTAGAAATACTCACTTGATAGATGCATATCTAACTAACAAGAAAGGTGGACGTGTATCTTCCACTCCCGAGCAATAGGGATAAAATTTTGCTTAGGCGGGCCTTAATACTTGTAGATGATAGTTGGTTTGGTGACAGGTGCTACTCTCTCTGGACTGGGTAAGTTCAGGCTTAGATTCCTACTCTGAGTTTGAGTTTGGGCTAAGATTGCCTCATGGCCCAAATCAAACAAGTATACTCTTACTTACCTGACATATGTATTATTTTGCTAGGGAAGAACTAGGTTACTTCAGTTTGTAAGGATATTAGTTCAGAAAGTCCTGGATTTATTTCATCTTTTCTGACATCTTTTAAAAAAACTGTTTCCAGTCGTTGTTCATAAGTAACCCTAATGGGCTATAGGCTATTCTATTTTAGTCCTACTTATGACACTGCAAAATCAATCCGACTGCCCAAAACAATCGCAAAACATATTGCCATGGTTCTCTCTTAGTAAGACAAACAAAGCATTTAAAACTACGTGAACCCCCTAATATTTCAAATCACTCCACCTCTTCTTGCTATTCCTTCTCGATATCTCCTAAGGAAAATCTTGAATTGGATCTCAAATTGAGGGGTTAGTGTGAGCTTATCCATGCAGTTATGCAATCTTCGAATAGGAATCCATTTTCTGAAAGATCTTGGCTTTTGTGCTTTAGTGAGTCTTCGAGATCCTTTTGATGACCGGTTCATGTTGGGGAACACCAAAGTCCAAAGCCAAACCAGGTTCCAAACCTTGACTCGTTGAGGGATCCCAACCATGATCCCGTCGTTTCACCGTTGAGCTGGCCGACTAGAAAGAGATAACCTAATTCGATTCTATTACCTTACTAGAGGAGCGGAAACAAGACAAAAAGGAATACCAAGGGGTTGAAAACCAACCCTAGTACTCCCTTATTAGATTGTCTCTCTAGCCTTCTGATCTGAATCTCGAACACCCTTCCTCTTGAACCTTGAATAAAAAATTGATCTTGTCATCAATTGGACTAAGAGTTCCGAATAAAAAAAGTAAAATGAATTTGAGGTAGGACGAAGGAACCGAGTGCCAAAAAAACAGGTTTCTTAAGGCTTCAAATTACTAGTCATTAAGACTACTACGAAGTAGATGTGATTCTATGGAACGATGTCTTATGTAAACCCTAAATAGACCTAGAGGAGGAGAGGTGAACAGGTCTTGTCTTGATTCATCAATTCAATTCGATTTATTCTAGACTCTTGACCTAATCATGCATTCACCAATTAATCAATAAATTTCAGTGAAAATAAATCAAGCAAACAAGAGCACAATGATTTTTTACGTGACCACGGGGCCAAGTACAATTTAAAACTTCCACTATTGAAATTGGCAATACGAACGCAAATATTTACTAACCCTTCGAGTCGCAATAGATGTAAGTTATTCTCTTTTCTCGTACTCTTCTGAGGGCATTCTGTCTGGTAGTTCTACTCAAAGAACACCAACTCCTCCAGCATGAGTTTAGATCATGCTCTCCCTTAGAGCGCATGCTGACTTAAGCTTGATCTTCCTCCTCGGATCTTCAAGGTAATTATGGGTTGATGAGACTGAGATAACTCATATCTATGAAGTTTTGAGGTGACTAGTGTGTTCACACTACATCACAAGATTTAAATTTAAATCTTTAGTCAACAAAGCTTTACAGCATGCTTTGATTTTGTAAAGTGAAGAACAAAATTGTGCTCAAGGTTTTGATCTCACAAAGGTCTATGCCTAAACTCTCTTAAGGTTTCTTGTTCTTTCTTGCATCTCTCCTTAGTCACAAAAGACGTCATTGGGTCTAGTTTTAATATAGGCTAGCCTTAAGTTCAAGTTTGGAAGGTTTCCTAACGTATTCAGGATTCTGATACCCTAAAGTCACTCGAGTGCACGCCTTTGAGCAAATAGCCAACGCCAAGCGAGTACCAACTACTAGAAACCATCCGACCTTGATCCAAATGGCCTCATTCAGTTTTTTATACATCACATAAATCAAGTTTTAAAAATATTTTTCTAATTTAGATCATGGTCAACTAAGGTATCTAGGTCTACTTACAATTCTTAACCAGTGTGTGATTGCCATTAGTTTAGCTTGAATGCCTTCATTAACCTCAATATCAACCGGCTTAATCTTCTTCAATCTTCAACACAGACCTCAAACCCACCCAACTTGATTCATGTGACTCACAGAATTATGTCAATTATAAAAATATCCTTACAGTATACATTCTACTTATTACTTTATGAGATATTATCTAAAATGTTCCTTTAATTGTAATTCCCATGGTCGCTTATGGACTGATGCCATGCAGAACACTTGCTGTGATATCAGATGCTCCATTAATCTACATCTACCTCTATAACTACTAGTATCATGCTTATGATCTGCTTCGGAAACCATTTTTTGTACAGGTGAATGCTGTTGGGGATCTTTGTGCCATTTGCCAGGAGAAGATGCATGCTCCAATTTTGCTTCGGTGTAAGCACATTTTTTGTGAAGACTGTGTATCAGAATGGTCAGTTTTTTCCCCTCAAGTTTCCCTATTTTTTTCTGGTCTGTTTGTATCCATTAAGAGGTTTCTGGTCAACTTATATAAGGCTTTTTTACTGACTTGAATTTGATTGGGAGCCTTTCTCTTTAGTTTTAAGTATTTTATGAATACCATGTGGACAAAAGCAGGGGTTCTAGCCTTCATAACTGAGTTATCTTTTCTCTCCTATGTTTTACAATGGCACCAGCTGGAGTGTCGACTGCATTATCAATCCTTTGGTATTTTTGCTGCTTGCCATTAACCACTCATTCACTTGGAGACCTCGGACTTCCATGAACTTATGTGATTTCAGAATTCCAACTTTAGATCGAATTATGTCCAGATATGTAGTGATCTTAATGAATTGCTGCTTCTCTGAACTGATTGACCAGATATGTAGTAATCTCTTAATGGCCTGAGATCTCAAGATAAACCCACACCATGTTGGGTACTAGGTGGGCACTCACCGAATGATAATCGGAGATCCAAATAAGGGAGTGAGAACTAGGAGACAGGTGTTTCTTCTTCTTTTTTTTTTGTTTTTTTTTTTTTTGTTTTGAGGATGAGATAATTCTGTCATTGTTATGTCTCTCCCATTTGAGCCCAAAAATGTGAATGAAGCTCTTCTCATGCCACCTGCAGTTGTCATCTTCTCTCTCTCTCTCGCTTTCCTTCATTCCTTGGGTCCAACACTTAAGACGAGATACTTCTGTATGCTGTTTTTGTTTGATATCAAACCATTATGTACTTTTTGTTTCATGTTTGCAGGTTTGAACGGAAAAGAACTTGTCCGTTGTGCAGGGCCCTGGCGAAACCTGCGGATATTAGATCATATGGGGACGGGTCTACTAGTCTGGTGCTGCAGTTATTTTGAGATCTGCTGCGTGATGAACAGAACCCTTTCCTGCTGTCAAAACTGGTAAACCCCTGTTCTTGTCATCCGACCACACCAAAGTTTTGGAATAGAACCAGGTTACGTTGCTTCACTTCTGGCAGTGCCGCAGTCCGGCAGAGTGTACATGTTTTTCAGTTGATGTATGTGTTGGGCCTTTAATGGCTATCATAAAAATTATACATGGCATATCATTCGATATTTGGAAGAAAAGTGCCTTACGTTCACACACACATTTGGTATAATTCAACAACTAAGGAAGCAGAGTGTGCCATTTGTGTACCTGAAAGTTTATGCTTTAAATGGTATCAGGAAAGAACAATGCAACGCGTCATGCACGGTGAGAGGGTTTTTTATTTGGTTATCTACACACACACACAAAAAAAACACGAAACAATAACACTTTGATAGTCACAGAGCAACCTTCTTAAATTGTTGCATAGAAGCACGAGACAAGCTTTCCACAAAGAACTCCCAAATAGACATCATTTTCTTGGTATAATAAAAATTAACAACCCAACAGAAATAACAATCAATGATACAAAATAATGATATATTGGCCACACGAGGAGCAAAAACACAACACCACATATATATACTCAAAAAAAATTCCAAAAGAAAATGACATGGATACAAACTCAAACCTTTGTTGAGAACAGGGAAACCACTCCAGTGCAATCCAAGCAAAATGAATCAGTGTCTTTCCAAATCTTCTTGTTCTGTGATGTGAATATAAGAGCTCGGTGGGGCAACAGTTTGGGAAGCCTGTGCAAGCTCCGAGGATGGTGTGGGAAGAGGAGAGACATCTGGGGTCACTATTGGATTTATGCTGTGGGAAACTGCAGCAGATGGAGAGGAAAGGGTTAAAGTTGGTGTAGCTCCAAGGGATTGCAGATTGGATGTGGCTGCCTTGACCGGGTAAACTTCAGTGACCTCTTCACTGCCCTCATCCAGATACACAACATCTTGCATGGTGAGCTGGTGATATTCAACAATCTCCCGCAGGAAGCGGTTTTCCCGCGCAAAGACTGAGTTCTCTTGTGCTAATCGAGCTTTCTCAGCTAGAAGTGTCTCAAGTTGAAGCCTTATCTGATATGCAAATAATTTTATCAGAATTCTAAAATTAAGTAATAAGGTTATGTACTCTTTTTTTGATTCTCTGAAGCTCCCACTTGGTCCTTCAAGCAACTGCTTATTCTCAGTACCCGACTAATTGTGAATGCATAAAGCATGTGTAGAATCAGAAAGAAAGAAGTGTATTTCTCCAGCTACTTAGAAAACAAATTATTAACAACCTCAAAGAAAATAAAGGAATGCATACCAAATCGTCATCTTCTGGATTGTCTCCTTTTTCACGACTCTCTCTAAGGATTTTATTTTCTTCTTCCAGCTGAGCACATCGCTCCTTTGCAAAAGCCAGGTCTGCTTTGACCGTCTTCAGTTCCCGGAGAAGAAGTTTAGCTTTGGCAGCCATTGCCATTGCAACCTGTAATAGGAACCAGGAGGAATATCATTCATCTCACTAATGTAAGGCTAGTATAAAAACAAAAAATATTAGGACTGAGAATTTGAAAAGTAGACCCTCAAAATGGTAACCAACCCCTCACCATCTCCCTTTTTTCTCAGTTCCTGGTCTCATACTTGTGTCACTACAATGATTAGGATTAAGGGCAGTACAACTGTACAATATGCCAGGCAGGTGAAATCCTACTTCATAAAGAGGCTTCAGAAAAATAAGGCTGTTTACAAGATGATGCAGATTTTAATCCAGTTCAAACATTACAATGATAGTAGCAACAGAATTACTTAAATAGTAAAAGCAACTGCTAAGTATCTAGAAATCCAACTAGAAACATCATCATAAGTACATTAAAATTGTTGAGTTAAGCCAAGAAGGGGATGCACAGTGCACAAGCGACCATTTTCAATTGCATAAAATCACTGTCATATGTTGATATTCCATGACTGTGCAATGCTCAACTCAACTTAACAAAGCCTTGCCCCAACTATATGGCGTCAGCTACATGAATCATATACATTCACTTTCCTCTATCAAGAGCCATATTTTCTGTAAAATCACAAGCTATTGTATCTCTAACTGCGAAATAGAGATTCGAAAATGCAAGCTCCAGAAACCAGAGCACAAAAGAGCTCCATTAAAGATGTAAGGTAAATCAGACGAGCAGTAGTTTTTTTTTAGTAAGGCAGATGAGAAGGAGGTTGGACTTGAGGGTAATTGTCAATAAATTTTTGCATTACACCATCCATAAAAAATCTNCGAGCAGTAGTTTTTTTTTAGTAAGGCAGATGAGCAGGAGGTTGGACTTGAGGGTAATTGTCAATAAATTTTTGCATTACACCATCCATAAAAAATTTAACAAAATTAAGAAGTAAACTTGCTCCACGGTGTCAAACCAATAAAGAAATGTTCCTTAGGAACACCAGGGTGGGTTACTTCTGACGTAATGGAAATAAGTAGAACCATAGAAGAGCACCCAAAAAATGCAAGATTCTTTCATTATTTAAACCACTACACACAGTTGCCACCTTACGTCGCGAGAGGCCTTCAATTGGATATCTAAATCAGACTGCATCTGGGGTTGCCTATGGGTCTGCATCTGGGATTGCTGCTGCATACTACTAGGATTCGAATCCTGATTCTGAGCCTTGAAATTGCTACCCGTTTTCCTTATTTGCAGCTTGCGGGTTTCCTGAATGATGTCAGCAGTCCGATTTTCCACAATTGTACGACCCTCCTACAAATGCAGAGTGTGACACAGTGGAGCAAGATAAGGAAATCTGTACAGCTATTTCATTAGCAAGCTAAGAGAAATTGATCAATTCCCACAGATAACATACATGAAAGGCGTATGAGCATAAGGAGGATTGATATGCTGATTACTGTTCGAGGATGCATTCATGCCAACATATGAGTGCACACTGGAGTGGGGGGGTAGCCCGATGGGGGAGTGTCTCTGAGTGTGTAACTGAAAGAGAGTAAATTTAAAAGGTGCAAAGAGCTTTTATAGTTGATTTGATGCCGCTACCACCACTAGTCATCAGGAGTGGACTGCATATAAACAATATACTACCCTCCATTTGTGTAGAAATGGTTGCCCCAAGCTATATTTTTAAAAGATGGAAACATGTTCAAAATTAAACTCACCAACTGGTTGTGTCATTCGAATTCCCATTCATGTTGAAATGGGATCAGATTTAACTCATTTGCAATACATTAATAAAGACTATCATGGAGAAATTTTATGCGTCGGTGAGCAGTGTTGGCAGAGTGGAGGCTACTAAGGGGGTTGTGGTGGTAGTGTGAACGATTTCAAAGCGAACGTAATGGTGACCAAGCCAACAGTATGATGACAGCAGCTTAGCAACAATGGTGGTCCTTTGGCTAAGGGATGGCTGCTCTAGGGTATGTCATGTTGATTTCTCACTCTCCATCACACTCCCCCCCCCCTCTTTTCTTATTATCTTCTTATGCTTGAGGAAACTCCGATGTGTTACCTACAACCTTCCTTATACTCTCCCATAGCTATAAAAAAAGCTGGTAAAGGAGTCGTTATGTAGGTGATGGCTGCTGCAACTTAGTTGTTTTTTCCCCTTGGTTTGACACTAGTTAGTATATTCTGCAATCAAGACTTCAGTCACAAGATTCAGATCTCCTTGTAACCAAATTGCAAACTAGGATTTTAAAGAGATTTCAACTCCACTAGAAAGATTATATCGCAAACACAAGACCCTTGTTTGATGTCTGCCACCAGTTGTTCCCCCCGAAATTCATGATCCAAAAAACACTTTGATACTTCAACGGGAAATCCATAACTAAGCATACCTCAAAAGCATTCCCAAGTGTGCCACCAATATAATTAAGGGACGATGCAATTGCATCAAGTCCCTTTTGCAATGAAGGATTTTCCATCTTCCGATTGCTATGAGGTGAATGAGAATGTTCAGGATCCTGCAATGGAAAAACACAAGGATAAAGGAAAACTTGGACTGAATTTCAGTATAATATGGCAACTAATGCAGCTGAAATATTTTTTCCTGATTAAATACTCACCTTTACCCACAGCCACACCCAGCACCCCAGGGCCCCACCGCACCCCGCAAAAACAAGGAATAGGAAAATAATCACTCGTGTTATTTTAGTGTAGATCCCTACACAATCATCATTTAGATGCAATTATAGAATTTGAAGCGTACCTGACCCCTTGTTCCTGAATCAGACATCTGCTTTCTTGTTCTTGTAGGTGTTTCAAATTGTTGGGCTGCATTATCATCCTCAATAATGGCTTTAGCTTTCCTAGCCAAAACTCCCCAAAACCCTTGTTTGGGTTCACTCAATTTTTTCATTGATGTATACTCATAGCTAAATGAATCCTACAACCACAACCAAATACTTATCAGGAAAGTTAAATGTAGTTTTAATTCCCATAAATGCAGTTCGGTGTAAAGAGATGCCTAAAACATCCAACAAAAACTAAACTGCTACTTCAGTCCAAAAAGAACTGGGGACATCTCCCAAGCAAAAGCATAGAAAATCAAAACCACAACTGGCAGGTTGAATTAGAAAAAGTAATATTGGGGTTAGAGAAAGATAGAGAAGAAGAAGGGAAAAGAAGAGGCAAGGAAAGAGTAATTAGTTGTGTAGGTTTGGGTTGTCCTACACTCTTATTTATAATTGTGTAATATTAGAGTAATTACAATATTATCCTACACAAACTAACTTATATCTAACATATAAAATAAGAACTCTAACGAATACAAAACGTGGTTTTAAACTAATATCACGGAAACTGTCAACAAACCGAAATTATATAATCCTCAAACAGCTTCAGTTTGTTGGTACGAGCTGCACAGGTTGCAAAAGAGGAAGACAAAATGGGGGGACTTGAAGGAGAAAAAGAAAAAGCTGCAAATGCCTTGTGCATGTGTAGTTGTGGGCATGTACACGTGGGAATCGAAGAATAAGCAATTATTTCTAGTTATCAAATCAACGGAGCTCGGGCTGATATATCATAACATGAAGTTATTCGTTCACGGCAATGATCCAAGTGATAGAAGTTTCTGCTTGACCTCCCACTAATAAGCTCATGCACATTGGTGATAACTACAACACCATCTAATCAACAAACTGAGTCAGCACTTCTTTCTCNCTGCTTGACCTCCCACTAATAAGCTCATGCACATTGGTGATAACTACAACACCATCTAATCAACAAACTGAGTCAGCACTTCTTTCTCTCTTCCTAAACCTTCACATGTGCACGTGTACACAGATATTCCCTTGGAGAGAACGACAATAATACAATGAATAGATAAGAATGGATGTGGCATCCTTCAAAGGATAATACACAAAAATGAAACATTGAAACAAAACTGCCATCGACTAACACATACTATCTGAAGCGCACCATTCGCCAAACCAACATCGTAAAGGGGATGAATTCACTCTTTGAGCAGGCACACTAAAGCTCTTGTTTTTGCTAATTCAACCAACTCTTCATTTGAAGACACAAACAAACCACTGAGCCAAGTAGTATCCAAGTCAATTCAACATCTCCCATTCTAACGTCGTTCTATGGAAAAAATCACAAGTATAATGAGTTGGCCGAGTCATCGTAGAGATCTCCAAGCCAACCCCGTTCCTAATGCTGCAATATGGCCTCATGTTAAGTGTTTTCCTTCTATCTAGCATTTTATGCACATTGCTCAAAACTGGGCACCATGATCAATGGTTCTCATACCCTTCAATAATGCGATCTTTGACCATGACTTCAAAGCTAGAAACATTCAGGGATTTGATAAAGAGATATCGTATAAGATCTTTTGTGTCTACTTCCCATATCAAAGAGTCCTATAAATGCTTAATTAGCCAACCTAATAACAAGAATCGAATCTCAGTACACTATATGAGATTAAGGATAGGTTTGCCTAAGAGGGTGTAATATACTACATTACATCAAATTCCAAATGAGTTCACCCATGACAACCAGCTCAGTCTCCCTAAAGGCACTTGCTACAAGCCATCCGTCCCCAATAAGCTCCACTCAAATCATATTGGCGTTTCACCCTCTACTTTTCCCCACCCAATATTCAATGCTAGATAAACTCCAAACAGTATCAACTTACTCATACACGACAGAGGCCAAAAGCCATTAGAGATGGCAGTTCGTTAAAATTTATTGCTACTAGAAACCATTCATCGGTTTTTTGGACTTCGAGCTATCTAACATCAAGAAATTCAAGTGATAAAAAGCAAAGCAATGTAAACAAGCTCCGACTATTAATACCGAAATGCACAAACATGTCCCGTGTTAAGCAGTAAAAATATTAGACCTTGCATATGGTATTAGAGATCAAGTCAGTTCAGATTCTATCTAGTTTTGCTCCAATTCCGGTCCAAATCCAGGATTCCATGCTGCCAAACACGGCGTCTCATTCCATTTTTCAAAATAATCACTATTATCCACCGTTCTTCAATGTGATATTATATACAATTCCTATACACAGAAAACGGATAAAATGAAAGGTAGAAAGCGAAAGCGGACCTTCGTTGAAGATGGAGAAGAAGATCCTGTAGGCTTGGAGTCCCGAGGAGAGGAGAGACCAGAATGACCATAGGCAAAGGAGAGAGAGGAATCACTATAGGCAGATGATGCTCTAATGGCTTTGGCAGCGAGCGAAGAGGCAGACGAAGACGACGAGCTATCATCGGGCAGAGGAGGAGGATTGTAAGGGCTCCCAATTTCTTCTTTAAACGGAGAAGCCCTCGGCACTCCCTGCCTCCTCCTATACGCCATGGATTTAACTCAAACACCACCACGGACAACGCTGGTGAATCACGAAAGATGCGAAAAAATCAAAATGGAATCCCCCTTCCCCTCTCTCTCTCGAACTCAATCACCACCACCGGCGAATCGAGACAGATGCCAAAAAATCAAAAATCGAATCCCCTCTCTCTCTCTCTCTCTAAAATGCGTCCACGTGAATTCAGGTTTGTTTTAGGTAAGAACCAGATCCAATCTTTCAGTTTCTCGAAGTGTTTTTTTTATAGTTGGGCCTGTCAACGTGATTAAGTAATGGGCCTTGTGTTGGCCCAACTCGATTTAATAAGGGTCTTGTGTTAGACTTATTTGATAAAAAATACATAACAAAAAATATTTTAAAACAAAGTACTCAGTTAAGTTACAAAGACATAAGTACCTATTTTAGGGTCATTTAATTCAAAATCTCTTATTTTTAATGCACCTTGATTCATATATATTTGTTAATATATATAAATACATATTTGATGCACTTTGATTTGTGTGTATTTGTTAAAAAATATATATATATATATACACACGTATATGTGTATATAAATATATATACTTGTTTATATACATGTATATACAAATATTATTTTTAATGCACCTTGATTTATGCATTTTTTTTTTGAAAAGTGATTTTTTTTCAAATTATATTTAATGCACCTTAATTCAAATGTTTTTTTTTTTTGAAAAATTGTTATATTTTAAAATTAATTTAATATCTGAATAATGTAATAGTGTAACAATAACAGTGTAACAAAAACAGTGTTCAGTAGTTTTGTGTATGTGGTAACAAATTCAAAAGGGAGATATACTATTTTGAATGAAATTATAGGTTTAACAAATTGTAATAGTACAATATTTTATATAAATAGTTTGTTACACTGTTATTGTTACATTATTACACTATTTAAATATTAAATTAATTTGAAAATAAAACCACTTTCCAAAAAAAAATGCATGAATCAAGGTGTATTAAAAGATAATTCAAAATTTAGATAAGAGATTTAACAGCAAGTATATACATACATACACATATACATAATTATTTATATAAGTGTATATATATATAACGCATGAATTAATGTGTATTAAAATATAATTTATACACATACGTTTTTATATATACATGAATACAAATTTTGAAATTCAAACAAGTATATATATATATATATATGTATGTATGTATGTATGTATTAAAGTTCTCTCATAAAATTAGGAGATGTTTAATGCACCACTTTCAAACCAAAAGTGGTGCATTAAATACACATTGATTAATAGGGGCAAAAATGTCACAAAAAATCAGTAAAATTCAAATAATGTACTTAGATACAAATAAGTATCAAAATTAAGGACTTAATTATCCAACATTTTTTTCTATGTACTTTTTGACAATTAAGGTTAATTAGGTGTACTTCCTTCCAATTTTCCTTTTTTATAATTGGGACTAGCTACTTGATTAACTAACAAAAAAGAGAATTTTAGAAGTCGGTCCCCTTATATAGATTTATTTGGAGATAAGTTTGGTAAGGAATTTTTTTTTGATTTTAAGTCCACACTTAGTCAGGTTTACTATTGTACTCCTATCCTTTGAAAAAGTAATAACTGATGTCTGACTTACCGTCTCCTTTACATAGATTAGATCATTGAGATATATATGAAAATCCTTGATTGATTTATATATGAAAATCCTTGATTGATTTATATATGAAAATCATTTATTAAATATTATGATAATTAACAAAAGTTTTATATTTTGATAGTTATATTTGGAAGTTTGATATACAAATAAATCGTTGATCTATTAAGTCAAAATCAGATCACAAAATTTTCTTAACATTAGTGTTCCTATAGTGACACAAATATTACTATATTGACACGAATGAAATTTTTTTCTTTAAAATACTCAATATCAAAATTAAAGAATTCCACAATTTCAAATAGTAACACAAACTTAACTCCAATTTTTAATTACACTATCAATTGCAAACTTTTAAACATATATTATGTAACATACACATTTAATTTTCATAATAACATCAAAGATTTATACTCAGTAACACATCGACTTTTACAAAATACAACGTTATAGAATTTTCACAATAACATCAATTTTTGAAAAATTGTAGTTAAAATATGATCCACAAATTAAAAATTTACAAAATTTTTAGTAGTAACATACTGTTGACAGTTGAATTAAGACCCTCAATACCAATCAATAACATCAACACAACAAAATTCTGAAATTCATTTTTCAGTTATCACATAGTAACATGATCTATTTCACAGATATACAATCAAGGTATTTCAAATGTCTTGCACAACAATTAAAACCCTACAATTAACATCAGCTTTCATGTAAAATCACATACGTTAACTTTATTTTTAAATCTCAAAGTTGTGAAGATGTTTTGAATGCAAAAATTAACTATAACTTTGTCAATAGATTCCACAGTAAACTTGAAAAGTAAAATCGAAATTGGGGTTGAGTTTGTGTTACTATTTGAAATGATGGAATTCTTCATTTTGAATATTGAGTATTTTAAGGAAAATAATCACATTTGTGTTACTATAGTAATACTAATATTAAGAAAATTTTGTGATTTGATTTTAACTTAATGGATCAACGATTTATTTGTACATCAAGCTACCATATAAAACTATCAAAATATATAACTTTCATATAAAACTTCCGTTAATTATTATAATATTTAATAAATGGTTTCCATATATAACTAGGACTTTCATATATACCTCAATGATCTAACCTGTGTGACTTTTCATAATTGGACAAAACTAACATTGTTACGGTAATTTTGAGATTTAAAAAATAAGTGGACTTAAGTACCCACATATAAGTTTAAATATGGACTTCTCTCCAAATAAATTTACTTCTAAGACTCGAGTAATTATAAATCCATCTAGGGGGACTTATCTTCAATTTTCGCAACAAATAATTTGGGTTTTCTCCCTATCCTAGGGGTAGGAAATATGATCTTTTGTTTTCCTACTCGATATTTTGCAGAAGAATTTTTTTTTAACCTATCCTACCCGATCAAGTGTGGTATTCCTACTCGACTTTTGACCAAATTAATCGGGTAGTAAGTTGGGTAGGAAATCGGGTGAACATTTTTAGTTATTAATTTTTGGATAATTTTAACAATTCAATTAAATAACATACATGAATTTAACAACACAATAAACCAATAACATTAAAATCTAAAACAATTACAACAACAATTATAATAAAACACAAGAAAGTAAAAATATCAATCTATCATAATTGTTGCATAAATATAATAATAATTATTTTAAGTTTAAACTATATAATTATGGAATTAGGATTTTTAGTTTATATATATATGAGAGTAAAGTAGGGTAGGAATACTGAAATTAATGGATATTTCATATTCTTACCTGATTTAATCAGAAGACCAAAAATTCTTTTATATTTCTACTCGATTTTTTTGGTTAGCCGTTTAATAGGGTCGAATAGGGTCGAAAATTGCGATTAATCAAAAATTTGAATACCTTTACAAAAAATTATAAGTAGGCTACCTTTTGAACTACTGATGGGCCTCGTGCTATTACTGGGCCACTTGTATTTGCGATTGGGTGAAGCCCACAATTCAGATTGTAAAGTGATAACTTTCTAATATCACCAATAAGAATATGTGTATCATCTTTGTTCACTGTCGTCTCTATACCACCTAATAAAATATGATCTCAACCTTTAAATATTCAATTAATTCAAAGAGACTCACTAATCTAATGCTTTATATTGAGGTAGTGTAGAAAAGTAGTGCATATATCACTCGGATTTGTGTGTTTTATAGGTGGTGTTTGGATGAGGGATTTTGAGTCAAGTGGGGAATGCTTGTCCATGCTTTCAAATCCTTTGTTTGGATAATAACTTCTTTCCTTGAGGAATTTAAGAGGTTTTCGGTTGTTGAGATATCTCCTATTGCATCATAATCACCTCTTTTTGTGTCTGTGTTCTATTCTTTTTTCTCTTATTCATTTCTACACCAAATAGTTTATATGATAGCTTCCTTATTTATTTTTTTAAAAAATATCTGAATTACGACTGATGCAACGTGCATAGCATACTACTACAGCGCATATTAAGGTCATTAGAAGCAACCCCAAATAGGGCAATAACTCTAGCATGACAAACTAAAAAGACCTCTTTCTAAAATCTCTCAATAATCAGAATAATATTAATGTTTTTGTCATGAACCTAATCATTCCAAAGTTAAAAGGCACGATGATTAGGTCAAGCTCTGAGAGGAATATTTTCATTTTTACATTAGTGTATCTAGTAATTTCAGACTCTTGGGGCTTTCAATTTTTTATTAGGTTGTAAACATTTTTTTAGCAGTTTTGGTATTTAAATAATAAAATATCACATAGCAAAACGGGCTTTTTTTTTTTGTTGTCATTTTCAATTGCTTTAGATTCTTATATATGAAACCAATGAACATATTCTTCAAAGACGAGCAATTTATTTTATGTCGAATAACACTTACAATAAAGTTCTTGACAAGAATTGTGATACATGAATGTCTCTTTCTTTTGAGTTTTTTTTTATTACATGGTGATCGTGTTTGTGCCGACTATTTTCTCATAGATAAGTTACCGTAATTTGAACTAGTTTAAGAACATATCCCCTTAAGAACAAAAATAATTGGCCATTAAAGATGTAAAGACTATCAAACATGCGATCTTTTATTTGTAAAAAAACAAATTTAATCACTAGACCACCATTTTTTTTAGATCAAACACTAGACCACCGTTAAAAATTACTTTGTTTTGAGAGCGGTTGGTGTGAACATGATTAACGACTAAGCCATGCTAAAACTAACATTGTCTTTGGGTGCTTCGAAAGACTTCAAATATGATAGGCTATGGAAGTGGCCTGCCAAATCTTTTTCAGACAAACAAACAAACAAACATGGGACAGCTATGACGGCGGCCTAGCATCTGCATAATATAAATTAGTTGTAATTGTATATATATATTTATATTTCTTAGAAAGGCACAGCTTTTAACTTCCACCTAACATTTGTAGCAAACTTGTTTGTGTTTGTACACTCAGAGGAAGACATTTACA